CTTGCAGCACTCAGCAATTCTGCTGTGCTCTCAGCACTTTAACACTGAAACAATATTTTGTTACGAAGGTTAAAAATCCCCAAAGTGGAATTTACAATGTGAAAGTAATAGGAAAAGAGAGATGGTAAGACGACTGCTTGGGCCCTTTGCAGGAACTGGATCACAGGACTTTTAGATTCAAGGGTAAATGGGGACATTATTCTGTCTTGGAATACAAAAACATTGTTTTTATGGGAGGAAGAAGAAAGCTTGTTGGCAAAATGTGTCTGCCACGCTTAAAGGCAGCCCTTTACTTTGCTAAATGGATGCATTTTCATGCTTTGTGAATGTGAAGCTAGGCAAGTAAAAGATGGTCAAGGAAAGGCAGGCTTATTTCTGGAGCACATTACACACAGCTGTTTGTACCCTCCCAGCTAAGACAGTACTTCTTTAACTGGAAGGAAAAACGTCATAGCACAGCTAACTGACTCTGCTACTGAAGTCTGTGCCAAAGCAGTCAGGGTGGTGCTACTTGTGGGGCTGCGTTTCCACTTTCTCATGGATCCATCCAGAGTGACTCTGATTTAAATAAAGACCATTGGGAAAGAAGGCCTATTCCCTCAGGCTGTGCTTTACCCAAACCTCCTGCTGAAGGCACTGAACTCTTGAAAAAGGTGAAGGACACAGGATGGTGGGGTGTGAAAGGGTCTGCCAAGGGTGTGTTTACATTTGGAAATAGGCCAGGGATGTTCATGTGTGAATATGAGCTCCTTCCTCGCCTGCTTCATCCACCTTTACAAAGGCGGATAAATCCAAGTGTTTCCTGAACTGTAGAGCTCTAGTTTAAAACAAACAAACAAAAGTACTGGAGAGTTCCAAGTTGGCATTTGTCTCCATTTATCTGAGTTACTCGGGTCCTTGTGGGAGCTGCACGTCAGGGCTGATGTCTGCTGCGGACCTGTCTCTCCCCCACTTGAGCAGCTGCGGTGTGTCAGCCTCGTGTTCTGTTTTACGCTGAATCCTGAAAGCTATTGGTTCCTACAGAAAACTTTCAGAATTTGTTGTAATGGCTTTCCAACGTGCAAAAAATTTCCCTGAAACTTTTGGCTAATGCTGTTTTCAGGATGGCTGGGACAGTAGAGTAGATCACTTAGGGAAACACTGAACTATGAAAAGAAAAACCCTGAGTTATGCTGGTGATGTCCTTTAATCATGACTTCTTGCAAGGACTTCAAACTAGGGAAAACTGTGTGTAATTGCAGATGCTAAAGACACTTGGTGCTTTGATAGCACCTTTCTCAAAGGATTTTTTGTACAGAATGAGTTCCCTTATAATTATAGCCACATGTTTTGTAGATGAGATCACTGAGGTGCAGAGATTCTCCAGACTATGTAGAACTCTGCAGCATGGATAAAACCCAGGTTTCCTGAATAGCAGGTGTGTCTGAAGGTTCCTTCTCCTTGCTTGCTGCAGTGAAAAGTGAGTAAGGCTGAGGGCTGAGCACAGATAGGAGAAATAAATTGCAAGATGCAGCTTTTGTATCCTTAAGCTCCCCAAATGCTTTTTATGCTTAAGGGTGTAACTGTTTTGTGACCGAACTTGCAGCAGAGCAACAGAAGTTTGCAGCTGAATAAGGCTAATTTTAAGTTACTCTTCCTTATCTGTGTCATTTGTAGAGTAAGTTTTAGAAGGTGGCATTTTTATTTGATAGAAGAAGCTGTTAAGAGCTGTGTTGTTATCAACTTGCTTGGCCAGAATCAATTCATCATTGTAATCACCTGCCTCAGGACTCCTTTTTGGTTTGCTTTGCCTTTCTGATTAACTAGATGTTTGTTACCTCAGTGCAGCTTTATAACATGCTTGCTGTTGATTTATTGTTACCTGAGGCTAGATAATTACTGCCTGACAGCAGTTCCTGAGCTTTGCCTATGAAAAACCCGTATGGCAGCCAAACCACACATTTGCACACACACACACAAAAAAAACAACAACAACAACAAAAATAACAGGCAAATGTGCACAGAAATGCATAGGATAGAAACTGCTTTTGGCCCTGCTTAGGGTGGTGTTTAGGACACAGTCTTCTTGAACTGCCACTGTGAGAAAGGAGAAGGCTTACATACGCAGTGAGTGTAAAGTAAAAGCCTTACAACTTCCATAGCCCTGCCAAGATGCACAGCTTGCTGACCAGCTGTTTCTGCTAATGGAAGAAAGCAGAGTGGCTCAATTACGCCGTTTGGGCATGTGTCACAAGTCTTGAGGAAAAACTATTAATCCCTGTGGAAGTCCAAGCAAAGTTTCCTTGAATCAAACGTTCAAGATTTTCCCTTTTCCTCAATACTACAGACTGTTCTTACAGATTCCTAGAGGAGGAGGATCAGGAGGACAGGCTGTTACCTTGTACATAGGAGGCAAGTGCTAAAGTGCTTCTCCTTGGTTAGATCTGCTTTCACAAAGGCATTAGCAGGGAGTTGCAGCAGCTGCTTTTGGTGAGCACAGCCGTAAACACAGCTTTGCAAGGTTAGGCTGATAAAGAATGGAGTATTTTCTTCTTTACTTTTTGCCTCGCTCTTCTGTTACTAATAAACCTACAGTTCTTTCTTGTTTATCATCATTTCAGTTCCAGTGGGCTCTTTTTAGTCTAAACCAGAGAATTCCAAGGGACTAGACAGATGTCTGCCTCTAATCAAAGCAGGACGCGGAATGAGGTTTGCCATCCAGCAAGCCTGCCACTACATACTGAGCACTGAGACTTGGGGCTCATACACCAAATTAACTGACTCAGGATCAAAGCAATCCCATCCTGAGCAACAAATGCTAGCCAGCACTAAGCACGTTGATAGCTGCTTTGCTCAGGGTAAACTGCTTTATAAATAGGCATTTAATTTATTCTAGAGTGGTCAATTCACTTGCTTTTGTGTAGCAGCTCACTTCTCATAGTTTGCAAAGAATTGAGTGAAACAAGTTGTAAGCCAGATAATTGGTCTTATTTTTCTATAGATAGTGACTTCAGAAAAATGCATATTCAGATTTTCTGAAAAGTTTCTAGGCATAAACTTAGAGAAAATAGGTGCGTTAGCATCTCTGATTTTTCATTTCCACTAAAAGTTTGCATGACTGCCATCTGTTTCAATTCTGTGTATCTAGGGTTTCAGCATGCTCCACGTTGCACCCAGGCTTATGCAGAATGCTGTAATAATTTTGGGGAGCTAGAGAAACAGAGGGAACATGGAACATGAAGAGATTTTTGTATGCAGAGTGACACAAACACATCCATTACACCATGTATGCTATGCCAGTGGTCATTTATATTTTCTAAAAGGAAAGTAGCTGGTCAGTACATAGCACTGCATGTGAGCTAGCATCCTGGGCTTCCCATCTTACTCTGCACAGCTCTGCAGTATGGTGCACCTTGTGTGGCCTGAGATAGCTAGCTGAGGTATCTCTGCACAGGACTGTGCTACTACATGCACACCAGCACTAAAATGCAAACTCTCCTTTGAGTCAGCTGACTGTTTGCTGGCTGTCTGGTGACTGCTTTGGTGGGTGTCTAAATACTAATGTGGATAGATAAACCACACTGCCCTGAGAAAGGTTTAACTGTGTCTAGCCTACAGAGAGAGGATGAGAGAGATGTGGATTTTCTTGGGTAATAATTGCTCCAACAAAGACGTCGCTTGCAGAAAGTGCAGTTTGCTCATCTTATTCTCCTGCATGTCCTACACAGCATAACTGTAGAAAAGCTGAGCAAACAAAACTCTCCTCTAACTTGATTTGGAATGATTCCATAGATTTTTTGCTCTTGCACAGGAGAAGGAAAACAGTCCATTTATTTTTATTAATGAAAATGAAATTATAACAAGGAAATAAAAGCATTAGAAGAACTCTTCCAAGTGCCTGACAGACCGAGTTTAGGGACTAAAAACAAACACAACAACCCAAAACAGACTGTCTTGCCAATATAAATCAGGAGTTGAAAATCTGAACTAGTCAACAAGTTGCTGACAGAGACATCCTCAGCTCATCTAACCTTAAGCTCTGTAGGTAAAGACGATGCTAATTGCCAGAGCTGCTGAGGAGGAAATGGAGGGCCAGTAGGGCAATTTCTTTTTGGCTGGAAGGAGCCTGGAAGGTTCCTCATACAGATTCCTCTGCTTCCTCATACAGACACACCTTCTCTAACACTTTCAGCCACCAACGCCCTGTTGCCACCTATGTAGGTGGCACTGTGTACCAATTTACCTGCAAAGGTAAAATGAGGTAAATACAGGAGATGAGGAGAGAGTGAGATGGACAACAAGCACAAGGAAGGGGCTCAAGTACTGGAAGGTCTCTCCTATGCTCACTGAAGCCTTTGGAGCTTTCTGCTGTTCCAGTAATAGCTGTACTGTGTAGCTGCTGCAGCTCCCACTTTTAGTGGAGAAATCTGCATTTTAGCTACAGATAAGCATCAAATTAATTTCTGTAAACTTCAGGCTCATTACTAAAACATCACTTGTTAACATCCTCATGCTCCTTCTCTCTTCCAAGTATCTCATCTCAGCAATCATTGCTCTATCTTTGAAGTTTAGGTCCACTGGGACTTCTCCAGCAAGGCAGTACATCATATTTAATTAAATAAAAATTACTGGGGCAGATGATGTTACTGTTCATTAACTTGTGGGAGAGTTAGTCTCATTGCAGCACCTCTCCTTTGAGTAGATAATGCAAGAGTGCCATATGCCAGAGGTGCTTCAGGCTCCTTAGAGAGAGCCTGTAAGGACATAGGATAACACACTTTCCTCACCTTCAGCAGCTGCATGCTTTACTGAGTTATGAAATAAGCAAGCCATTAAGAGCTGGGCCTTTTCCTCCCATAGCAGTAAAGTTACAAGCAGGGAGTGGGTAAGTAGTTCAATTTATTTATTTATCCTTCCTATGTCTTAAGTCCGTAGCCTAATCACTGTACAGTAACTACATCACTGGCAATCAGCACAAGCAACGCACCTTGGAGCTATGACATGAAAGTAAATGCACTCACCTTGTTAGTCAGAGGTGGACCATCAAGGCATCTCTGCGTGGAAGGTGGCACTTGGTAGATATCTTGCCCTGCTACACCGTGTCCAGTGGGTATTTGGTAAATTCCCTGATTCATATGGGAGGGAGGCACCTGGTAGACAGGGTCCCGTGCTGAGGCATGTGAGCTTGGCACTTGATAGATCTTCTGCTGGTTGAAGGATTGATGTGTCAGTCCTGAATTGGACATATCTTGGCTGGAAGGACTGTCCTGTACCACTGGACCTATCAAAAGCTTCACGCGGTTGCCTGGGACAATGCCTTGCCGGCCATGCAGGGAGCACAGCCACCATCCTTCGAGGCCTTCAGTGTTCTGCTCTATCACGGTCAAAATGTCTCCCTTGCGGAAGGCCAACTCTTCTGCACATTCGGGGACATTATCATAGAGAGCTCTTGCCATAAGATTCTGTGGAAAAAGATGGAGAAGAAGAACAAATGAACAAACATAGCAGACTCTCTCCAAAACTTCAAGCACGTTCCAGGTAGAGAGAAGAAAAGAACTGAATTTGACAAAGAAGTGTGTAGGAAACCAAAATAACAAAGAACATGATGCAACTTGACACAGGATTCCTCTTTCCAAAGTTGGAGAAGTGAGATGCTGATGTATTAGCAACTCTGCCAATTACAATCCAGTAATACAGTGTCCAGTGGAAGCTCTTCGAATGGTTTCTTTCTTGATTCTGTCCTTTCCAGCAGAGCACTGCTCTCAGCTCTGAGTGTTCTTGTTATTTGGGGCTTGCAGCCTCGCTTCCCTCCATGGATTTCCCTATTAATGTGTATGATCCATGTATTGCTACAGCTAGCTAGTTGATATTTTAAGTCCAACTTGAGCGAGACTCCAAGTGATATAAACTGTGGATCACATGATGAGGGGAAAAAAACAGCCTAAAATACAACAGAATCTACATCCACTTGAGGTCTGTGAGGTTCAGATGTCTTACTGAGAAGTGCCATGTCTTCTCATGGATTGAACTGGCTCCTTTCCACTCTTGCTGCAGGCCTGTATGGTGTGTTTCAGTTCCAAATTATTAGCCAAGCTTAGGTATTCAGTGGAAAGTAGGCAGGCAGTACATGCTGACATTCTTGGATTCCTCACAAAGGCTGCGAACATTTCATTTCTTGGCTCTGGTGATGTTTCCAAATGTCTTGGCAGGAACTGTTCTATGCCTGCCTGCTTTTTGGTGAAGGCAGTCAGCAGAGACAGTTATAAACTAATTGTAAGCACCTGAAAAAACACAGGGAGCCCCATATCTGGAGCGTTCCAGCTAAAGTATTTGGATGCAAGACACAAACCGAAATGGTGCTAATCCACTGTAAGATAGGATATGCAGCTGTCTTGAAAGTTTATCTATCATAGGGACAGTGGCAAGTACAGGTCAGTGTTTTATCTATCATATTTATCCTCCCTCTTGGACATAGCACTTTTATTTTCTTCTCCACTTGTTACATCTTTTCCTGTTGTTAAAAAATAGTTTAATGATTCCCCATCCTTTCTGTGCTTCATCCATTTGACCATGCTCAGTTCAGTGTTTCTTAAGTGTAGCATACACTTAAGCATACAAACAGGAGGCTGGACGATGGGGTGATTGGTGGGTGAAGAAAGGGAAGTTTGAGTATCACATAAAAGGTAGATGAGTATATTTTTCTCAAGACATGGTATTGAAACAGGGTGTATGAGATCAGTTTTTTCTTCTCTGACTGGGAGATCAGCTTTCAAACATATGAGAAACATTGGCTTTGCCTTTCACCAGCATCATTAAGGAGGTCAGTACAAATTAAGCTCTGGACTCTGGCAGGACTGCCGTTTTGAGCTCAGCACTACGAGCCACAATTCTGAGTGAAGTCTGCTCCATTCATCAATCAACAACACTGAGAAATACACATAGAGAAAAAAAGCACAAAGCAATTTTGCCCATGCCTTGGCAGAACTTCCTTAGCATGGTTAAAGACAGTCGTCCCACTCTTGCTCTCTTGCTGGGCTGAATTTGCTGCTCAGCTGAGCTTTTCAATACGGAAAAGCTCCTGTCTAGTCTGGATATTCAAGTTAATCTCTCATCTTCCTACATTTCTTTTGAATGCATCTTTCACACAAGAAAGCTACTAAGATGACTGGCTGTGTAACTGACCACTTTAAACAGGGCTTTTGCAGAGAATGGTGTTTAAAGGAGAACGAAAAACACAGCAGGTCCACAAAATGAGCAGGCTACACTTACGATAAATGCTTATTCTCCTATACTTTGTTGGTTTAGGGTATTAAAAATGCCCGATTAGCTTCTACATCACAGCAGTTCTCAGAACAAAGAATGGGACGGTGGTACAATTAGAGCAGATGAAAGTTCCCATGTGAATTTTTTTTTCCAGTTGCTCATTATCTCTGTCCCAGTGACCTTCTGGCCACCTGGCATACAGCATGTTAATACTTTCTGGATGCGTTTCAAGAACTTTGCTGCAAATAGCTTCAGATTCTTGTTGTCAGAGTTAACTTGGGCACCAGCATGTGAATTATACTAATTGGTTGCTGCTTGTTTCACAGCAATTTTCCCAAAGTCTTTTGAATGGTCATGTCACCAGCATCAGTCACTGATGGAGCAGAAAAGTAGGCTAAATATTTCTCCATGTAAGCACTGGGACCAAAAACAACACTGCTTCCTTGCCAATTACACAGTGCTCGTGCTAAGCAAACCTCCTGTGCTGAGTACTTCCCTGACTCTATTCTTTCTTCACACGATTTCTCAATGCAAGCTGCAGAAACAGTGTCACAAATGTTCTCATTGGTCGGCATAGTTGGCCTTCAGGAATAAAAAAGCAACACAAAACAGTGACCACAGAAGGTCATCAGGAAAGCTTCTGAAAACCACAAAGCTAACGTTAACCTGCTGTGGCAATCGAGCAGGTGGTCTCTGCTTCTCTACATGCAGAAAGAAGTTCCAATCAAAGACTCTCCTCAACACTTGCAGGCTTTATCTGCCCACTGATTTGACAGGCTTGACTAACCTTGGGATACTGCAGGCATCTGGTCACATCTCACAGCATACCATTTGGCTCAGACACTGCAGAGGGTGTCTTAGTTTCAGCTGGAACTGAATTGTTTCCTTCAGAGTGTCTGCTATGATGCTACATTTTTGGTTCTCAGAGAAAAACAACATTGATAGCATTGATAGCACACTGATGTTTATAGTTTCTGCAAAGCAGTGCTGTACAGAGCCAAGGCTGCTCTCAGCAAATGGCCCAAGGAGCTGAAAGGTTATAGGATTAGGACAGCTGACTTGAACTGGCCAAAGAGACAATCCATGCCATCTGACATTATGCAAAAGGAGTTCTGAAGGGGGTGGGAGCTCATCTTCTCTCTTCTACTGCTAGGGGAGTTAGCTGGGCACTGGTCAGGGGGTGGTAAGCAATTGCTTGTGCATCACTTGTTATATGCATTCATATATATATATATGTATATATATATATACACACACATATATAGTCATGTCTATTATGCTTTTCCCTTTCTCTGTCTTAGTGAATAGTTACAAATATCTGGAATTATCTGGACTTGCCCTTAGAGGCCTGGTTCTATTGCTCATTTATCTGTGAAGCACCAAATAAGCACTAACATGTAAGATGACAAGGCAAAGGCACAGCAGAGATCTTTCTTGCACGACCAAGTGCTAAAAGCCCTCAGCCATTTCCTAAAGAAACTGGCAACAGAGAAAGGGCTGATGAGAATCTTGTCCTGGAGCTTGTTTATGCAAATGTAAAATTGCACAACACACCCTTTATATTTTCAATATAAGAAGAAAAAGGGAAAAAAAAAAGAAAAAAGAAAAAAAAGGATGTCAGATTCAGAGCTACAGATTCAAGTTCTGTAATTTCAAGGGAGAAACAATCCGATCCTAGGTAAGGATAACCTAGGCTGTGCCACAGAAATCAGCCAAGCTTCATAAAATGAACTGAAGAGCTGTTACAGCCTTCTTCTAGGAAGATGAAGGATGGTCCACCTAATGAAATGCTGCATGCAGTTGTGCTCTCTTTGAAAACTGAAAGCACCTGTGGTCCAACTACAGTTTTGTTCCCCTGAGCCTTGTGTCACAGAAGCCACGCTTCAGTTCAATGACAGCTTTGACTTTCTTTGACTGGAAAGATTCAGTTTGACTTTTGAATCCTCGTGTCTTGTTAGTAATACTGCAATGTTTGAAAGCCTAACACAAGGTCAAGCTCCCTCTGTGTTAACATTCTGTACAGACAAAACAGACGCACAAAAATTCAACCTAATTTTTTTAATTCTATCCCTAGGTCCATTAGTTGGATCTAAAACCAATATGAGCCTACAGATCTGTTAGATGAGCCCTGGAAAGCATCCTCTCTCCCAAACTTACAGGAATCAATGGCTGTCATCCCTGCAGCTGAATAAAAACACATGAAAATACCCTGAAGAATACGATCTGCTTTGGCTAGCCTTCCCTGCAGCCAAGGGCACTGACAGAACTCTGTTCTTTGTGGTCTGAAGGATGAAAAAGCTGCTTGTTAATGAGGCTGAGCGGCAGAAGAGGGAACGGCTAAAGAGAGCGGTGGAAACATCTACACTTTCTCTTAGAGTAAACACAGCCAGTGACGTGGGTAACAAGAACGTGTGAGGTGCACGCAGCCATGCAAGTAAACACGGGAATAATAAATGACACGCCATGAGATTAAACACAATGGTCTCCTTAAGCCTGAGGGCTGCGGTGCCAAGCTCCTCGCGCAGGGCTGCCTCAGCCAGCACTGCCATCAATGAGCGCTCATTCATGGGAAAGGTTCGGCCGACCGTGAGCTCAAAGGAGTTCAGTCGCTTCCCTGAGAGGTGCAATCTGAGGACGTTCCATACAGGGCTGTGTGTTCTGACTTCTATTCTGGTGGTTGGTTGTTTTTTTTTTTTTTACTTTTTCTTTAAGTATTGCTTCTTAGGCATACAGTTTATGTGAAAATAGAACCAGGGAAGTCATCTTTTCTCTTATCTGAAAAGAGGTGGGACCCCTTATTTCTATTTTTGGACAAACAGCTTCTTAAAATTCCAAATGGCATCTCTTCTAAGTTAAGATAGCTTAGGAAAAGGAAGGAAGAGAGCAACAAAAGAAGGAAAGCTGGGAGAGACACCCTGAAGGAGCGGCTATGCACAAACCAGTATCTTTGTCTCGGCTGAATCACTCTGAATTCACCATCACAGAGTATTTTTGTACAGATTCTTGTCTCCTTTTGGTTTTCATTATCCCTTGCTTCTGCTTTAGGTTTCTTTAAAGCAGATCATAGCTATTAAAGCATTTATATATCCTTCTATGGTTGCAGGCCTAACAGTAATGATTTGCCCTTGAGAAGGAATGCGCTAAACATCCAATAGAGAGCTACATTCTGAGAGAAACCACTTGACTACAAGCAGTATTG